CTAAAAAAAAAGAAAAACACTATAATATCACTGTTATAAAATAGGACTGACATGAGGAATTGGGGGAGAATAGGAAAAGAATGGATAGATAACAAAAACTACATTGGAACAAATGAGGAGAAGGATGGTCTGAAAGGAGTGTATGATTTGGCATAATACGTATAACAACAATCTAGAACAAGAGATACATTGCAAATGGACTGGAGAAGGGAAAAAAGAGAGACAAGAAAATGTACAACAATGAATAATGGAAACCCATCCTTTTTATAAACTTTCATTAAAATGATTATAAAATAATTTAAAAAGAAATAATAAAATTTATCCTGAAGTCTAGTACATTTAGGTGTTTTCTATTTAATTTGTCTGGTCTCACCAACTATATTATGGTATTCCTTGAAGAATTTTTGTCTTATTTTTCTCTACCAGTACTTAAAAATGTGATGTATATATGTAGGCATTCAAGAAATATTTAAAAGTACTAAAAGATTTTATTTATAGAACAATTAAACAAATCAACTAAATAATGAAAGGTCACATTAGTATATATTTTTAAATGGAATCATTAAGGATTCATTATTTTCAATATTTTCTTTTATTTCATTATCTTCTGTCTCTGTCCCCAGTCACATTTAACAAATATGTTTTTATTTCCTGCTCTTTCCCCATCTTTCTGGTATTCTAGAATTCTTAGGTTAAGAGTACACAAAATTCTGCCTGAAGCAAATGTTCCTGAAAGCTGGGAATGATATGAGTAAAAAATTGATACAAGAACACTAACTGAAAGGTTAAAATTTCAAATCCACTAAGAGGTGTCTTAGAAAAGATTTGATGACCTGCTTCCAAAAGGTGAAATCCTTCAAAGTGCAATGAAAGAGTTTCACTCTGAAACTGTGGCTTTGGATGAATTAGAATTGACTCGACCACAATAAATATCCACTTATTAGAAGTGATGGTCAAGTCTTTAAATTATCCACTCAGTCCTTTACTCCTTCTTCTTAGTTATAACATTAACATTGCTATGGAATCCAAAGTGACTCATATCTAACTCACTATTTGGCTTTCCAAGGCAATGAAAGGAGAGTATCCTCTTTCTCCTAAGGGGCATTTGGTGGACAACACTACCAGAGTTCCCTAAATAATATATTAGCTGGTCAATGTCTTACTTGGCACTCAAAAAGCACACAAGCAAATTCAGCTGGAGGCTTGAATTTATTTTTCTGTTCTCTGAGCTTGAGAAATGCCGAGAGAGTTCTTCCTTTTCAGTTTCTAACGTCAGCTCTTTGCACATTCCATTATAATACTTGGCCTTTGGCTTCTTGAGATGTCCTTTGAAATGTTTTGTTCATCACTTTCATTCATAGATGGCTTCTCAACTCTTCAGCACAATTTTTAGAGTCTCTTTTGACATCTATTTTGGTTTTTTCTTCCTCCTGTGTCTATGCAATGATCTCTTGCTTTTGTCCTTGACGTCATCCCATAACTTCTCTGGTCTTCAATCGTTAGTGATCAGTGCCTCAAATCTATTCTTTTTTTTTTTTAATTTTATTTTTTTTTCCAAACCTATTCTTGAGAAGATTTTTTAAATCAGATGTGATAGACTCATGGTCATATTTCGATTTTATGGGCTTTCTCTAGTCTTCTTCAGCTCCAGTTTGAACCAACAGTACCTCAAAAGAGCTGACCAGAAGATTTCAGAAGGCAGCTCGAGAAGATAAAGTAAAATATTGTAGTGAAATGTGCAGAGAGCTGGAGTCAGAGAATAAAAAAGGGAAGAACTTGCTTGGCATTTCTCAAGCTGAAAGAATTTAAAAAATTCAAGCCTAGAGTTGCAATACTGAGAGATGCTATGGGCAAAATCTTGAATGATCCATGAAGCATCAAAAGAAGATTGGAAGGGTATGAAATTTGCTGCAGAAGATCAAGGACTACAACCTTTTGTATGGATTACATTTCAACATCATGAAAACAAAGGTCCTCACCACAGGACCAACAGCCAACAATATGACAGATGGAGAAAGGATTGAAGCTGTCAATGATTTCATATTCCTTGGATCAATAATCAACACCCGTGATACCAGCACTCACATTGGGACCTCTTCAAAATGCTGAACAGCAATGATGTCAGTTTGAAGTCTAATGGGCACCTAATTCAGGCCATAATCTTCTCAATCACCTACTACACATCAGAGAGTATACAGTGAATAGGGATGATATAAGAAGAGTTGATGCCTCTGAGTTGTAATGATGGATAAGGGCACTGAATATTCCATGGACTGCCAAAAGAACAAATAGAAATGCCTTAGTTAAAGTTCAGCCAGAGTGCTCGCTCCTTGGAGGAAAGAAAGACAAAACTTTATCTTTTATACTTTGGATATGTAGTTAGTTGAGGCTATTACTTGGAAACGGGATCAAGAATGGGCTTCTAGTGTTAGAGATAATCAGGATGGCACTGGAAAGGGCAGGATTCAGCTTGGCTGTCCATAGTGTTGCTATGAATGATATTCAACTCAATGGCACCTAACAACAACAATCAAAATTAATTTGTACCCATATTTATATTCTATTAAAATGTTTATTATTTAGCAATATCGATTCTCATGTCTTATTTCTTAAACAGAAATTTTCCTTCAATCTTATGTTTATTATGCGCCTAGTATTGAGTAAGACTCTTTGAATACATTATCTCATACTTACAATGACCCTACAAGATAAATATTATATTACAGGTGATGAAACTAAGCCTTCAAGAGTCCAAGAGTTTGCTGAAGATATTAGAATTGGTAAGTGTGAAATCGACGCACTCTAATGTCAGGGTCTGAGCTGCGAGCCACCATGGGATACTACTTCCACAGACCCCAGTTTCTTAAGTAGGCCAAACATAATTTAACCAGCTCTTGACAGTTTAGTGTCACCAGCCTGAATCAATGAACAATGAAAATGTAGTCATTTTCTTCTTTCTTAATAAATAGCACTTAATTCAGCTGGCTGTTCTCATCTAGGAGCTTTGCCATTCTATCTTACTACATTTAATCTGTAATGATCTGAGAAATCTGACAGCTTGATGTGTTAAAATTGTTTATAAGTCAATACGCTTCAGATGACAGCTTAAGGGCATTACAGTAAAGTGCATGGACTTAGTGAAAACTATTTCAGTGGCTCCAAGACCTTTTTTTCTTCATAAAATCTCTTCTATGTTCCTAAGTTAAACTAACAGACACTGAGAATATTACTAAAAAATATTTTCAATATAAATTATCTGTACTTGGAGCTTTTTAATATATTACTATTTATAAGAACAAAAAAAAGGTAAAATGTGGTAGTGTGAGAAAATAATGAAGTATTTACTTCTGAATGACTTACTAACCTGTGTTGCATTCCTTATCAATACAGATAACTGAAAGTTGAGTAGAATTAAACCTTACCACCATTTAACAGAAGTTTCGAAATGCTGAATCAACAGAAAAAAAATGCAAGAAATTATTTTCATTTATTGGCTAAGAGAATGCATCTCACCTTACTGAACTGTCCAACCACATGCTTCAGAATATTGGGAGGAGCATCATGCAGTAGTGGTTCAAGCGCTGGTAGGTAGGTACATTTTTTTAGGATATTCTTTATAGCTTTTTTACACTGTTGAAGAAATACAAAGTGAAATGCATATCAAACTAAGTAATCTCTGAACTGGTGATATTCATTCATGTGTACTGTTCTTTTTCGTTGACAAATAGTATTTCACCTTAATTCATATACTTGGGATCTGAAATAAAAGCCATCTTATTGTCCAACCTGCTGTTGTGGGAGTTTTTTTAATAGATTTTAAAAAATGTAGTTGTCAGAAAGCCTTCAATCTTTGTTGACTTTTGCTCTTTTGAATCATTCCATATTCAAAATCATAGAATGATTTTGCTGACTTGCTAGCTGACTTCTCGTTAAACCTTTAAAATGTACAATGTCTATGAGGTCATTAAAATGCTAACATCTATTTTATTAGTGTAATTGTGAAATTACAAATACTTCCTATTCCTTTCCAAGAGTAAATATGAGAAAATAATCAGTTTATCACAGCATGTCATTCATTGCCTGTCTACAGTCTCTAAAAGGTTTCATAATCAGAAATAAATTTTGCCCATATTCAGTGTTCTTTTGCATCTATGCTCAGATAATTGATGGATACAAATTTTCCTATTCATATATGCTTAACAGACAGGTTCCAATTATAAATAAAGGCTTCTCACAGCACTAGGGAGGCATCACTCACAAATAAAGAGTAGGTACTCATACCTGACATACCTTTCCCTTCTCTTCCCTAGCAGTCCACAGTATTTTAGAGTGACAATATGATACTATCCCTAGTGTCAAGTGTGGCTGAAGTAAGGCCCTAGGAAGACTGTAGAATATTGTTGCAGTCATCTCTAAGGTCAAGGTTGTCTGTCAGTCTATTTTCCATTAAAGGGTACCCATAGCATGTTGGAAAGCTACATAGTTGGGTTTGTCTACTGCTGTTTTCCACTGTAATTCCATCTGGCTGTATATATTTTGTGCTTCATTATATTCTTAATCTTTCTTCTGATATCTATTTTCTCTTTCTTTTGAGGCTTTTAGCAAACCTACTCCTCTAGGGACATAATAATGCTACTATAACATTTAGCAATACTCTTAGAATGTCAAGGAACATGTTTATTTTTTTTCCACATTGTGAACTGTTGAACAGAGACATGCATACAGCAAAAACTTCTAACACATTTGTGCTATTAGTAGTGCAACTCTTAATTTAAGGCTTACCAGAAACACAAGTTAGGTACTTTGTATATATCTTTTTTTTATCTCTCAACACATACACCCTCAAACATTGTTTTATAAACTGGATTAAATAATAAATGTATGAAACATAGCACAATTTCTTTCTAAAAATAGTATGACATGACTTGGAATTAAATTCTTTATTCTCAGCACGCTAAGTTATGCCTTTGTAAACCCCTTCTTAGTATGTTAACAAGAGTTATTAATCAATAATTATAGACATAAGCCTAATGATATTAGAAATTCACTGAACTTTGCTATTTTTCTTCTGGAATATCCTTGATTTATAACTGTATTCTTTAAGGGAAGAATATATGTCATGAGAACAAAATAAATACCAAAGCATTACAATTTTGTTTATATGTACCTTTCTGGGCTTAAGTTTTTAACAGCTTTATTGAGATATAATTAGTATACTATTAAATTCACTCATTTTAAGTGTACAATTAAATGACTATTAGTAAATTGACAGAGATGGGCAGCCATTTCCACAATTTCAGAACATTTTCATTATTAAAAAAAACAACCCACAAACTCTCACACCCACTATAAGAATTCTTTTTTCCCCCTTAATGCTATCAGGCCCTCATAACCACTAATCTACTCTTTTTGATCTATATAGTTTTGACTATTTTTTTACAATCCAAATAACCAGAATTATACAATATGTGAACTTTTGGGTCTAGCTTCTTTCCTTAAGCATTAGTACTTTAATCCTTTTCAGTGCCAATTTGTATTATATTTTACAGATCTAAACACATTTTGTTTGTCCACTGGATTGTTTCCATCTTTGGCTATTATAAATACTGCTGCTATAAAAATTCATATACAAATCTTCTTGTAAGCATTTATCTTCATTTATTTTATAGACACGATTGAGTGGAGCTATTGGGTGATAAAGGTATGCTTATTGCTACATTTTGAGAAAATACCAACATTTCCTCTAATGGCTACAACATTCAATATTCTCACCAGTGAGGTAATAAAGTTCAAAGTCTTCCACATCCTGGCTAACACATGTTACTGTCTGATTAATTACAGCCATTTGTGTAGATGTGAAGTTGTATCTCCTTCTGGCTTTGATTTCCATTTCCAAAAGTAATGCAATAGTGATCTGTCTATCCTCTTTGATGAAATGTTTATTCAAATATTCTATCTATCGTTGAATGTTATTATTTTTCTTATTGTTAAATTGAAAGAAGTTTTTTCTTTGTATAAGTTCTTCCTTGAATATGTGATTTGAAAATATTTTTTCCAAGACTGTAGCTCATTTAAAAATTTTTCAAATGTTATGTGTGAAGCATAAATTATTCAATTATGATAGCCAATGTTATCAAACAAAATGTACATTAATTGTTGAACAGAAAATTCATTTGTTCTGTAAACTTTTAGTCGAACCTCAACAACAAAAGAGTCAAGGGAAGAATTATTATCATTATGATGAAATACATTTCTCTTTTTATTTTGTGTTTATTCTTTCGCTGTCATGTCTAAGAAAACTTTCCCTAACTCAAAGTCTAAGAAGCATTATGTCTACATTTTCTTCTAAAATTTTATAGTTTTAACTCATACATAGGTCTGTGATTCAACTGGAGTTAATTCTGGTGTATGGTCAATAATACCAGTGTCCAAACTCTTGTTGTTTATAATGTGGAAATTATTGTCCCGGCACTCTTTGATGAAAAGAGTATTTTTCAAAATTATCTTGGTACCTTTGACAGAACTCAACTGATAATAAACATGAGGGTTTATTTTTAAATTCCAAGCACATTTTCCATTAATAGGCTATGTCTTTCATAAGCAAGTATTTCCCTGATTGTCATAACACTGGGATATTTTTTAGAAGGGAAAGGTAATAGGGGTCTTTTGTTTTCCTTTTCTAAATTGTTTGAGTTAATGTGGGGTCTTTGCATTTTCATATGGATTTTGTTTCATTTTAAATATTTTATTGTATTTTAGGTGAAAATATACACACTGTATATTGGCTTCCTATAAAACAATTTTTATCAAACTTATTCTGTGGTATTTTTAACACTGTCAATATTTTAATTATTTCCATTCTGACTCCATTAATCTACCTTCTTTGTGCCTCTGACATTCTCATCTTTGCTTTTAGGAAAAGTTTGACAATTTGTTCTCATACAGTTGATTATTTAACAAAGCACAGTGCTCACTGGTGATATTGTTTCTTTTATAAAGTAAACAATCTATCACTGGAAGCAGTACTGGCATCCACTTCCATAACAGCTTGCCTCTGGAAACCTTATGAACCACTTCCATAACAGCTTGCCTCTGGAAACCCTATGAACCTGGAGAAAGGATGAAAGTCACATAAGTGCTGAGGGGCTTTCATTTAGAAGGCAGCTATGAGTCGCATACGACGCCATGGCACTTAACAACAATCTATTCTTTAGATCAAAGGTGACCTCAAGAAGTAACTTCAATTCCAAGTTTAAAGAGTACCTCAGGGTGACGTCATAGCAGTTGCTCTTGGTTTTTCTTCCTGGAGGAATTTAAGCTTTGTCCTACATTTCTCACCCATTCTAGCCAATCTTCTATTGTGTCATGGATACATCTAGCTTTCATATCAGCTATGTATGTTAGGGGTTTTTTTAAGGCTTTGATTTCGTTCATTCTCTTTTCATGCAGTTGAGTAGCTCTAGGTAGCTTTTCACAAGTTGTTAAGACCCAAACCCTACTTATCAAACTAGAAGACAGAGCACGATCTTTATGAAAGATGGCTTGCTAATTAGCCAAGATATTTCATGATATCCCTATGGATATGGATTTCAGGATAAACTGTTTAATTCCTAGAGGAAAAGTCTGCTGGAGTTTCAATGAAAATATAGAGCAACTTGGGAGTATTTCCACCTTAACAACAAATCATTTGGTGTCCAATCAAAAAGCATGAAAAGCTCCTCCATTCATTCATACCTGTATAAAAATCAAGGGCAGCATAGGGATGGCTGCGTCTGGCTTTTACTAACTTCAAAAAGGGGAAATGTCTCCATCAACAACAACAACAGTACAAAACTAATTACAGTAATGTTAGACATGGCCTCCTGGCTCCAGTACCTGCTTCAATTAATTCCAACACTAATCTTATTCCTCTACTAGGTCTGAAATTCACTGCAGTAAGTATACAGACTTTACAGAATCATACTAAGTATACAGACTTTACAGAATCATACTCATGGTTATGGGGTTAATTAGGGAAGTTAACAGACTATAATTTAAGTTGGCAGCAGAACACAATCTTCAGTCCAGAAAGTTTCTAAAGTGTGGTCGCAGGTCCTTCGACCTTCAGACTCATGGCTTAGGTCAGTGTCATAAAGTTCCCTTAGTCCTGCCAGGTATGTAGTTTTCCCTTAGTCCTCCACAAGCTAGGGTGAAGGCTCTTAGCTCCGGTTCCTTGGGCCAGCAGTCTTAAGGTCAGTTCTGTCTTACATTGGGTCTCTGGCTCTCTGCTGCTTTTGTAGGCCCAGTACAGCTGGCGCTTTAATCTCTGGCCCTGAAAGATGCGAGATGCTCCTTCCTTGTGAGTGTTGAAATTTTAAATGTCTGCTGCTAAAATGGATAGACTAAGGGAGCTCTGGTGGGCTACTGGCAAGAAGCTGCACTACAATCCCAAAGGTATGTGGTTCGAATCCACAGATGCTCTACTGGAGGAGGAGGGACAATCTTCTCCTGTACCAGTCAGATCTAATTTGATGGTACATACAAAAAGTAATAAAACAATGTACATCCCAAAACTTCTCCAACAGGGTAAAAAGGGAAGCCACAGACAGGGAAAAAGTATTTGGTAATGACATGTCAGATAAGGGACTTAT